ACAAATTTATAACTATATATTCAGAAATTCATAACTATATATCCACAATAATGCTATTGCCGAGAATCGAACCTGAATTTTTTTTTAAAGTGGGACGCGCTTTTTTAGTCAAAACGACGCCGTTTTGCGTCGTATGCACCATGCGCATGGTACATTCGGTTGCACGACATAACTATTGAAAATGTTGTGTTCCCATTTGTTAAAATTTAACCCAATCACATTTTACTGTTCCAAAACTTGGCAAAGAACCCCTTTTGGGGATGCCCTAACATATTAAGGGTGTGTTTGGTTGGTGGGTTTTGCTCATAGGAATGGGTATGAAAGTGATTGTTGTTGTTTGGTTGATAGGTTTTTAGAACACTACTATGGGTTTCGAATACCCCATCAATTGAAAAACCCATACCTAAATTCAATAAGGGTTTCATTCCCTTATTCATTCTCAAGCACTACTATTAGTAATCATTCCCATTCTACCCTACTACCAAACATGTTAAATATTTTCACCAAAATCCATTACCATTACCAAGTATTTGATACCCATACCGATTCCGATTCCTATGTGCGAACCAAACACACCCTAAGATTGAAGAAACCCTTTTCACACAAGATTTTAATATTATTTCAACTTTCAATTAATTAATATACATTTAATGTGAGTATTAGATACTTGAAGATCTCTAACCATGAGTATAACATATAATTAGTTAGAATATAATGCAAAGAATTTAGTTGAGTTTGAAGATTATTCACTTTATTTAAAATGACTTATTAATTCTTTTTTTTTGAAAATAAATGACTTATTAATTCAATTTGTGATATTTGTATTTATTTTCATGAACAATTTATAAACTTCAACGTAAGTTATACATGTTATATCACACGCTTACCACCATATCAAAATTTATAACTAATAGTAAAGACATAATTTTATTTTCTTATACTTGATGAGTAACAAGAAGTGTCACATTTTGATGACATGATGTGAACTTGATCCTCTAGGCACACACCAAAAAATATGTATATTAATGATTTTTTGTTAATTAATGTCAGTCAACTGCAATGCCAATAGTATTTAGTTTAATTTTATATATTATTGTTGATTGTTGATTGTACATACTAAGTATTATTAGCATCGATGATACGATTATTCAATATAACAAAAAATAGTATACATGATTATAGATAGTAGCGGATAACTTGGTGCCAACTGGAGTAGTAGATTTTTCAATATATTAATATATGTTTAGTTTGAATAACTTTTTCTTTGCCTAAACTTTTTTGGTTTTCAAACTCTAGCTCTAGATTTGAAATTATATTGTGTGAAGACCTAAAGAGGAAACTTTTGACAAAGATCAACTAATCCACTGAATTTAACTGAATTCAACTTATATTTGTCCAATCACAATAATTATGGCATAGCTACCATACTAAGCACAATTGTCCAAATCAAAATGCAGTACACATCAAATCATTCACACTAAGCAATTCTTTTCGATTCATCATTTTATCATTTTATGTGTGTCATTATATCCATTTGAATTCACTAAAACCGGCCTACAAGTACAATGGGTACACCTAGGACTCCGAAGAATTCAAAAAAAAAAAAGTTGGATTGAAACACCAAATCCTGTCTAGAAAAAGGTAAAGTTTTCTCGTCGTCGTAGTACTCTACATCCCGACCTAATAGAATAATGGTGTGATGGTGACTCAGTGACTTATTATATGGAAGGATTAGTGTCTGGTGCCCACAAGAAACCCACCATATTAAGTGAAATTAACTCTAACACGGTATTTGTCAAGCTTGATGTTGTGTCTTTACCCAAAATATACCACCGATCAAAAATTAACTGAACTGTCTATGCGTACAAAACACCAGATCTTGAATATGTAGGTTGCCGGAGTAGAGATTTGGTGGTATGAATCTTGACAATAGAACTTTGGGTAATGATATAAAAGCACATGGCTGGTTTGGGTATGAAATGCCTCCATCTTCAATTCTTGAAATGGAGGTATATAGGACAACCAACTTCATTCATCTCACACTAGTCAAAGCACTCGAGAAACCAAAATCCACTACCAAGAGACAATGGAGATAAGTGAAAGGTAGGGAGTGATGAGTTTCTCCATCACACCCCTCATTTTCCCAATGAAAATCACCACCACATATCTCACATGATCTTGCTTGGGGATATTGCAAGACACATCACTAAAAATTAAAAAAATAAAAAAATAAAAACCCTATTCTCAAAAAGAAGAAAGTTTATCTCTTGCATATGCCCCATTTCCTCTTTTGCTTTCTCTACACTTCCTACATTAGCTAAACTCCAAACAACCCCTTCATAGCTTCCCTTTCTCTCGCATTAATACATCATTCTTTCCGACATAGGACCCTTAGTACACTAATACTATCCTCACCTACTCCAAATAGGGAAGAACTTCATCATTTGTTGACATGCATGTGTCAAGTTTTAACACGCAGAAATTAGTGTCTTAGTGAAATAATAATTTTTGGTCAAATTAAATTCGTGTCATATTATTCATATAAATAAAACGTATGGTGAAAACATTCAAACAATATTCAAATATATTAACAATAATTTTACATGATTGTGACATATATTTAATTTATTAATAAGGATTTAGTACATTAATATAAGATTTTTGCCATTTAATGTTAAAATTATAGGAATTAAATTCATTTATACCAAAATCTAAGTCACGATCCTCCAAACATTGTACAAACATATCTAACTCAATCACAATATAGAAAACAATTAAATATTTTGAAGGACAAAGAGAATGGGTGATCAACGAGACCCGGTCGAATTGTAAAGGTCCCACGAATTGAAGTATAGATCCAAAAGGCAAATTACAGAATGAGGTGCATTAATTTGCAATTATTCATGCCACATATAGATTTCAACCCCACCCTCATATATAAAGGATTTTTTTTTAATGCAGAGATCTATTAAACTAATTAACTAAACTCTTTAGGCAGTGATTTAAAGAGTTGAGTCAGCATCTTGTTATTAAAATGTGATGTTAATTGTTACGTAAATACAGTGGCGGACCCAGAAAAATAGTTGAGTGGGGGCGAAGTTCAAATAATAAAAATCGTTTATAAGTCTGTAACAAAATGTCAAGCATCAAGATCTTCTAAATCAGGGACAGTTTCATAAATTTTTTTCAGTGGGGTGGCGAAACATTAAAACAAAAGAGATGGCTTAAAAAAAATGAAACGCTTAAGAAGTTAACCATAAATATTGTTAAATATGAACGAAAAATAAAACACATCAAAACTTTATAAAATATTTATAACAAAATAGGTAACATAATTAATTTGATAAAATAATTCTAATACAAAACACATTATAAATTACACATTTCATTATTAATATAAAAGTATATAGAGCAAATACCAATTTTGGTCCCACGAGTATTAGCAAAATGACGGTTTTGGTCCACATATTTAATTTCTACCAATTTTCATCCCACGACTATTGTTTTAGTACCAATTTTCATCCACGACTATTATTTTAGTACCAAAATTCATCACGCCGGTCACCCCTCCATCCAATACATGTCGAAATCTACAAATTTTAAGGGCATTTTCGTCATTTTCAACTTAAGGCTCTAATTTGAGCATGAATAAAGGGATGTAAGCCTTAAGATCAATCTCACTTGGCAGTTCTCCTCCTCATCCTACTTTAATTTGAGGAGAAAAACTGCGAATCACGATAGATCTTAGGGCTTAAATCTTTTTATTCATGCTCAAATTGGGTTCTTAATTTTTAAAAGACGAAAATACCCTTAATAATTTCATATTTCGACATGTTTTAAACAAATGTGTGATTGGCGTGATGAATTTTGGCACTAAAACAATAGTCGTGGATGAAAATTGGTATTAAAATAATAGTCGTGGATGAAAATTGGTAGGAATTAAACATGTGGACTAAAACTGTCATTTTGCTAATACTCGTGGGATCAAAATTGGTATTTGCTCAAGTATATATAACCATTATTTTGTTTTTTGAAAGCCTCACCAAGTGCATTTCATTAATAATTAATATAAAAGTATATATAACCATTATTTTGTTTTTTGAAAGCCTCACCAAGTCCCCATTATTATTCAAATAGCCACAAAAATTGAATTCACGTCACTATGCCATAACACAGATTCGAATCCTTGACATTCCAGGAGCAAATACACATGCTCAACCATCTGAGCTAACCTATTTCTTGTTAACATTTGCTGTTTTCTTTTACTTATACTAAACCTTGAACTATATATACATATATACATACAAGGTTATATATGGGGTGGGGGTGGGGGTGAGTGGGGGCAGCTGCCCCCATTGCCCCCACTGTAGGTCCGCCACTGCGCAAATATAATGAAATAATGTTATATATTTGTTATTAGTTATAATTTTTGGCATTTATTTTGAACCCATTAGTATGCAGAAGAGTTCAGGGAGTCGAGTATATAATTACTCTATTTATCCAACTAAGTTGATCAAACAATTGGTTCAAAAATCATAAATCAAACTTGGTTTGAGATGATCATCTATGAACAACCTAAGGTAGTTTTTCCGACCATGGAAAGTATGCGGTTGTGATTTTTTCTATAATAAAAAATTCTAAAACTAAACTTTTTGAGAGTTTTTTTTTTATTTAGATCAAAGTCGACTAGAGAGAAGGAGAAAGAATATATAATAATAATGATAATTCTCCACATGGAATATATAAAAGAAAAAAGTCGTGTCCCAAAGCATATAATCACAAAAAATCATCATTTCCACCAAAAATCTATACTAAGTTTGAGATTGATATTCATAGATTTGTACATTTATACCCTCCCCCACGAGGGTTCTTCAATTCAATACCCCTCCCCTCTCTCCATAGCTTTCTCCTCTCCCACTTCATCTTCTTCTTCTTCTTCTTCTCAGAACATCATATGAGATACAGAAAGAAAGCGAAAAGAAAAGGAAAAGAAAAAAGCCATGAGAAACGCCCTTAGATGTTGCATAGCTTGCATTCTTCCATGCGGAGTTCTGGACGTGATACGCATAGTGCACACCAACGGCCGAGTCGAGGAGATTACCGGCGACGTCACGGCGGCGGAGATCATGAAAATGCACCCCAAACACGTCCTTAAGAAGCCGTCTTCCCGCTCCGTTGACAACGACCAAGCCACGTGCCCCAAGATCGTCGTGGTCCCGCCGGAGGCTCATCTCCAGCGCGGCAAGATTTACTTCCTCATCCCGGTGCTGTCTCCGCCGGAGAAACCCCGCCCGAAATCCTCCTCCTCCGCGAAAAAGAAGCGATCCTCGTCGTCGGAAGTTGAGCAGAAGCGGCGGAGTAAGCAGAGCAACGCTGCCGCCGCCGGCGTCATCGTCTCGGATCAGTACTTGAGTGAGATTCTATCGGAGAAGCTTTCCACGGCGCAGAGAGATCGCCGGCGAGGCCGTGTCGGCGTCTGGAGACCTCATCTAGAGAGCATTTCCGAGACTGCAAGTGAATCATAGTCTGGGTTTTTTTTTCTTTTTTTTTTTTCTTCCTTGTTTCATATTCATTTTCTTGAATATAATTGTCCATTAGGGTTCCAAGAAGCTCAATATTCAACATCCTTTATCTTTTCCTTTTTATTTTTGTATATAAGAGAGCAAAGATGAAAATAATAATATGCCAAAGTTTATAGTATAATCTTTGAACATTGTACCACTTGGATCTTTGGTTAAAATTAATGTATATAAATCATATTTATATATAATATCAAAAATTACAGTCTTAAACAAAGAGCTAAATGATTTATTATACATTATATATGCAATAATTTCGATTTTACCATTTCACCATCTTCTATACCTTGATTAAACCCAAGAATATAATACACTCAATGGACAATGGCTTGGAGTGGCATGGGGAATTGGTATAATTGTGTAATTGGTTATGGAATTAATATTTTAATTAAGATTTGGTGTTACTGTTGAAGGAAAATAAAAATCAACTTTTGTTGGTCACCCACTGTTGGCTCCATTTGAATTGATAATGTTACTTCAATTAAATATTCATATAAAAAAATTGATTAATTAATGTGCAATGTAATTAGTCGACTCATAAATACTACAGCCTGCATGAATAGCTCAGTTAGTCACATAGGTGAAGTTTGAGAATAATGATCCGGATCGAGTCTCACCCACAACAGTGGAATTACCATGATTTATATCCTAAAAAAGGAAAAAAAAAAAAAAAAAAAAAAAAAAACCTCATCCAATCAACATGTGACAAGGGCTCTAGTTAAAAGGAACTATACATATAAAAAAAATACAATAATTAAGATATTTATCATAAGTCATGATAAATGTAAAATTTTAGTGTAAATAATATTTTTCAAGTTATTTATATCTATCACTTGGCGTTGACGCAATGTCTATATACATATCAAAATTCAATAAAAGATTAGTACTTTTAAAGCCTAAATTAACAAGTGTTTTTAATGAATTAATAAATAATAATAATAATAATAATAATAATAATAATAATAATAATAATAATAATAATAATAATAATAATAATAATGATGATGATGATGATGATTGGTGATGCTAAAGGTCACGAACTAGGCAATGACATTGTGAAGATAATATATTGTGATTAATAATAGCGATATGATGATAATCATGTCTTAATATTCCTTAGTGGATAAAATGGCTATAATCAACAAGATTTTAGATTAGAACATCATGACCTTTTTCCCTTCAGCAAAGTGAACTCTGGCTTTTTATTTTTTAAAAAATAAAAAATTATTGGTAAAATAAAGGAAAGATAAAAATAAAAGTAACTTTGAGGTTGATTGAAAAAGAGTCCCCACAAAATTGTTTTCAAGCATAGAATAATGCAATTGTAGGTTGCACTAGCGAGTGAGTGGGAAGATGTCTTTTAAGGCATTTTCTTATGTTCTATTCAGACTTTGAGATGACTACAATACAATTATTTTCTGATACCCAAAGCATCCTGGAAAGTTGTTTTCTGATGCGACTTCGACCCTTCCACTGTCTCCAACCTCACTTGTTCGTTCCAGCCTTTTTTTTTTTTTTTTTTTTTCCTTTAACAAAAACAACGATTCATTGTAATCTCAAGATTCAACGTTAATCTAAATCGTAAACAACAATTATTCGTGTGCTCAATATGTATCGGGATCAGACGCTTATCAATGGGCTAAAAGTTATGTTTGTGTAGCACTGTAGCAGTCAAGACTACGTTTAGATGACAGAATGCTGGATTTGAGACTTTAAGCCTCCATCCAAGAGCAATGTGAATATTGTAATCAACATTAAAAGATTTGCTTAATTAAGGAAAACAGACATTATTTATGTATTTTACTAAGGTTTGTGTGGGCTGATGTTGTATGTTGATAAGGTTGAATTTTGGTATAGTGGGTGCACGGAGGATGATCCCATTCCCATTATATATGTTGTGATTCTTATTTGAGTTTCTGAAACTCCCCCCACTAATTGGAGGCACAATCATTGGAATCTGTTTGAGTTATTGCATCAAGAATGGATGCCATAAGGAGCGGAATATAGTCATATAGAAGCCAGCATTTATCAGTTGAAATTTTCCAAAAGCTAAAAAAACACAACCTTCCTTTCCATCCATATAAGAGTTGGAGACCATATTTAAGAATTTCCTCAATTGTGACTCCAAGCCTAATTAAGAATTGTACTGATCTTCCCATAACAACTACTCGTTGACTAATCTTGACAAATTGGAGCTTATTATAAGTTTTATCCATAATTTATTGTCTCTAATAAAATATTAGGTATCAGACTAATTCCATTATAGTCCCGCTTACCGGCCCCCAGGAGCATTTGTTAGCATAATTTGAATTTGTGACATCATTGTTAAGATCAAACACTTACCATTACGCTAAAAAATTATAATTGATAGCAAATACACAACTTTATTTCCTTATATGAGCGCAATAGTCAGCCACCACGTTCTAATGGCAAAATGTTTATATATATATATATATATATATATATATATATATATATATATATATATATATATATATGATGGCAGTTTGGATGGTCGAGTCCAGCATAACGTGGCGTTAATTGCTAAAGTATAAGGAAATCTTTTGGTATAGTAGTAAATGATCGATCTTTGACCATTTCTTTTGGCGGGAGTTTAAAGGGCTGAGACTAGTATTATGTCATCAAAACGTGACGTTGATAGTTACAGAAGTATAAATAAATATTGTTGTACACTTGTACCTTCCTTACTAGCTATAACTTTTGATATAGTGGTAATGCATAATGCTAAGAGCATCCTCATTTGTTTTGTTTTTCCATGATTTTTACAGCTCGACCTAGGAAAGAGAAAGAAGATGAAAGAGGAAAAGAAGAAAAAAAAAACAAAAAAAAAACAAAAAAAAAATAAAAATAAAAATTTGAAAACAATTTGTTTTTTTTTTTTTTTAAAAGGTAAAGTTGAACACGCCCAGCTCGCGCGTGTAGCTAGGTGCGAGATGTGTGCCAAATGCGCATCGCAACAGTATCTTTTCTCCATTTCTCTCTCCTGTGGGACCCACAAAAAAAAACTAGAAATTGCAAGAAAAATATCCCCTAAAATCCACTTCCCACATTAGCTAAAAACCACCCTCAAATTTTTTCTTTCTAAAAAACTTAACAAAATCCGCTATTGGGGATATGATGCTCTAACAATTTGTATCATAGTAGGTCGCAAGATTATGCTTGTAGGGTAGTATACTGCTACACAAGTATAAAGAAATTTGAGATTGTTGGACGGAGGTTTGGATGGTTGTATACTAGCAAACTTCTAGACAAGTATAAAGAAATAAGAAAAGGCATTAATAGATATTGGTAGTTGTCTAGTCATACCCAAACAATAATATTCTAGAGGGAAATGCACCTAAGATAGAATATTTCGAGTCGACTTCTGTCAAAAAAATCAGAATTTCTTTTTGATGTTGTGATCAAATAAAAACATAAAGTTATGTATTCACTACTAGGGATGACAATGAGTCAGGGGTAAGTCAGGGAGGGCGATGATATGACAAATACTAAGGTATATGATTGAGAAAGTAATCTCGTAGCCTTAATTATGTGTCTGAACCCGGGTGATGGTCAGTTATGAGATCGGCAAGTCAATGCAGTGTGGTCGAAAGTGTCTGAAGTGCATGGAGAAAGAGTCAAAAAGTCCCTCCTTCTAGCAATTAATGCACCTTTATAGGCGAGGTGAGGTGAGTATGTTGAGCCTTCTGCATGTCTTACAATCCCTGTAGGTAGGTAATTAATAAATATTAGCCATTTAATTTATTAATTAGACTAATCCCTGACCCACCACCCTCTGTCACACAAAAAATAAACTCGATTCATGTGGTGGATTCAACTTTTTGAGAAGAATAAACTCATTCATGTGGGGGAATTCTGGTGGATATTCGAAGGGATTGAAATTGTCATTCTTATTCACTATTAATTATAACTTTTGTCATAGTGATAAAAACTTGATTATGACAACAATTATTCACTCACAAATATTTACCATGACGTATTTTAATACTAAAAGTAGTATTCTTAAATTGAGTAAACCCATCGGCCTCTTTTTACATTACTATAGATATAAGAGAGATTATAAAAACTCTTCTTGAGTTTAATGATTGGATTAAAAGAAAAGAAATTAAAAGGAAAAAAGTTATGGAGTTGTATGTTTTTATTTATCAAATGGTGAATAAATAAATGTAAAGTGAAGCAGCGCTTTACCTTTATCTATTGGGGTCGTTGTCTCCGCCTTTTGGTATGTTTTCTTGGAGTCTTTTGTTCATTTTTAATAATTGCATGTATTTTAATTTATTTCTCAAGATATTAAAAAAAAAAAAAAAAAGCATTGATAAATAGTTTAACTTGAACGAATAATTTATCATAATATAGTCACGCATTACTAGACGTCGCATATCAATAATAGATATATAAAATAATAATAATAATAATTTTTAACTGTGTAATATTACATTTATTATATTTTTTATTCTCTAGCTTATATATTGATTGGTTAAAAAAAGTTATTATTATTATAATTATTTTCTATTTTAACTTCCAATAAAAATGACAAGATCGAGCAAGATCAAGGATGTATAATGTAGTTTGAGAAGAAGGATGTACAATGTACACAAGTTCACTGTTAACCGATGTCCTTATTTAATTTGAACCTAATCACACACATCAAGTTCAAATGTTCAATGCATTATTATATTATAGAATCGTATATGGTCGTCTGAGAGATTCTTCTTTCGACCAGTCAAGATGGAGTTGGTATATGATAGCTAAGCTCCAAATCCATGGGAAGAGAACTTGGAAGATACAACAAAACCAGGATATATTATTGTGATATGATATTGGGCATTAATAATTTATTGTACTTCCATTTAAAAAAAAAAATTAAAATAGAATGGATGGCAAAGTGGTAGTAGTTCAAAATTGTCGCTTGTGCTGCATTTGGTGACGAAATGAAACCAAAAATATATTTCTTTTGAAAAGTAGAGTATAAAATAAATCCTTATGTGATAGGGATATAAAGGATATGTACATTGATCCTTGACTATATATGTCCGATCTTAGGATTGCACTTCTAGACATGCCAGACTGGAAAGTTGGCGCGTTACCTGGATATACAAATGATATGTGAAGTGTCATTTTAGTTGTTTCATCAATCCAAATCAATTCAATAAGGACGTGTAACACCACTGACTTAACTAAGTTGTAGGTAAACGCCGCATTCCCTTGCTAGCAAGAGTCCCAGTATGTGCTGCTTTACAAATCTTATGTACTAAGAATTCTAGAGTTTTTTCCACTTTTGGTCCCTCGACTTCACTTGTGGTGATAAATGGGATTCACGACTTTTATTCCGGACATAATAGGTGCTCAACTTCAATTTTTTTTCCACATTTGGTCCCATTCGACCAAAAACCCGGCCAACCCACCGGAATTAGACTCAACCCTTGTTATGTTAAGGGTATTCTAGTCATTTCTAACCCATGTAAAATAATTAAATATAAGATTTATTCTGTATATACACCTCATTCTCGCCTATCTCTGTTCAAATCGAAGGTGTGCGAAGAAGGAAGATATTTCTTTGCACGGCGAGGTATTATTTTCACCAGCTCGTCTTCGCCCTCCACTTCTGCCACCAGAACGGCGTCACCCATCATGTCATCAAGCCCCAGAACCTCCTCCTCGACAAGGACGGCAAGCTCAAGATCTCCGATTTCGGCCTCTCCGCGCTGCCGGAGCAGATCCGGAACGGCCTCCTCCACACCGCGTGCGGTACTCCGGCCTACACCGCCCCGGAGGTGATGATCAGAAAAGGCTACGACGGCGCCAAGGCCGACGCGTGGTCTTGCGGCGTCATCCTCTTCGCCTACCTCGCAGGGTACCTCCCATTCGACGACAGCAATATATCAAACATGTACCGTGCAATACGAAGCCGCGCGTTTCAGTTCCCGGATTGGATCACAAAGCCCACCCGGAGCATAATTTTCCGACTGCTCGATCCCAATCCGGTAACCAGAATGTCCATCGAGGAACTGATGAAGCTCCCGTGGTTCAAGAAGTCATCATCAGTGATAGATTTGACAGACGAACATCAATTCGGGAACCAAGAGTTCGACAAAGATTGCAAACACTTAACCAAAATGAACGCATTCGATATCATTTCAATGTCTCCCGGGTTGGATCTATCAGGGCTATTCCAGGCGGGATTGAACAAGAAAGAAATGAGATTCACCACAAATTCCGAGGTAGGAGAGGTTGAGGAGAAGGTAAAGAAGATCGGGAGTGAAGCAGGGTATAGGGTAGAGAGGGGAAAGGGAGGGGGAATCAGACTGGTAAAAGCAAGAGTAACGTTAATGGTGGAAATTCTTCAAGTGGCGCCGGAGCTATGGCTGGTGGAGATGAAGGTCGTCTAATTCCGGTGGGTTGGCCGGGTAAAATATTTAATTATTTTACATGGGTTAGAAATGACTAGAATACCCTTAACATAACAAGGGTTGAGTCTAATTCCGGTGGGTTGGCCGGGTTCTTGGTCGGATGGGACCAAATGTGGAAAAAAAATTGAAGTTGAGCACTGGTGTAGCAAAAATAAGATGTGAGCTCGGGTGTTATATCGTCCTCATGGGATTGGGGGATATGGCACGCAATATGCAATCACAATAAACTAGGCACTAGCATAAGGAAATCAACAAGAAGCTAAGCAAACTACAAGTTTAAGGAAATGATAAGACTAACACATATACACAAAGATAAACACAAAATAAAGAAATAGGACTCAAGCTAGGGAGCATTATCATCTAGATGCATAGCACAACCTAAGGATTGGGGAAAATCACACAACCAAGGAATAGAGGGGATGCACGTAGGAATCCTAGTCTATAAGTCACTCACGTGAGCAAATTAGCTAGGATTAGAACAAGGAATTGCCCCACTCTCGTGGTGAATCAACTCCAAGTTCTTCAAGAACACAAAGCATCTAAAACCCCCAATTTCTCCCATTTTCATAGGAAAAATCGGATTTATGCAAGGAGTGGCTTGGAATCTTGACCCAACTCTCATTGAGGCCAATAATCCTCCAAAACATGTCAATGAATGTTGTACACCAAGCATTAACAAAATACAAACACAAATCCTTCATAAACTCAAGAACCCTAGGTAGGCAAAATCCCCTTTATGCAATAATCACAAATAATCAAGCATCAAGATATATAATACAACCCTAACTCAAGTCCATAAACTAACTACTCATGATTAAATAGCATAAAGAACACAAAAACACAAGTGTAAAGCATAAACATTGCAAGATAAAGAGATAAAAGGGAGAGGAAAACTTCTCTAAAGAAATTGATGCTAAATCTTGAAATCCAAATGTTGAATCCTTGAATACAAGCATGAAATATGATAAAGAACCTAAATCTACACCTAATCTAACACTAAAATATGAAAGGAAAGAGTAGAAAATAGTTAGGGTTCGAATGGGGTTCAAAACCGAGTACAAATGAGTGAAAACTCAGCTAAAATAGAGCAGAGACGGGGGGCTCGACGCGTCGAGCGTAATTCTCGACGCGTCGAGAAATTACAGAATGTAAATCGCGACATTCTGCCAAGATTCGACGCGTCGAGAGTAATTCTCGACGCGTCGAGTGCTGATCTGCAACAGAACTTCGACTTGCAGGCTAATTTTGACCCTTTTGTCTTCAAAATTAGGCTTCGGTGTCTTCATGAAAGTTGTAGATCTTCAAGTCTTCTTTCAAATGGCGCAAGAATCACTTAATTTGGATATTTGTAGCTCGAGATATGGTCCAAAAACTAAGACATCAACGTACAGGTCAGGAATTGCATTTGCATGATCTTTTGCTTCTCTTTTGCTTTGGTTTGCCCAGATGACCAAGACCATTGCAAGCACCACTCTTAGGCTTTCTTGGAAGTGTTTTTCTCATCACCTTAGCTTCTCCTTGGCTCCCATGAACCCTAAATGTATCCATAATGCTCCACTTGACTCCAATGTCCTTCAAAATGCATGAAAATATTCATTTTTGCTTCCAAAGCTTTTCAAACCAAATTCCTTGCAAAATAACACAAATTAGTCCTAATCTAATGAAATTTGGAATGATCAATAAACAAAATGGCTTAGTGAAAGGAGCAAAAATATAGACAAATAAGCACTTATCAAGCACCTATTATGTCCGGAATAAAAGTCGTGAATCCCATTTGTCACCACAAGTGAAGTCGAGGGACCAAAAGTGAAAAAAACTCAAGAATTCTATTCCCAAATTAAATAATACCATCTTTTAACTTGATTTATACACTTAGGTTCTTCATATACCTACACTATACAAGATATTTCATATTTGATGGATATATTGGAGACAAGCCCGACCCGGAGGAAAGTGGAGGCGACCCGGACTAGAAGTGGCCTCCCAGCTCTAGGCGACCTCGACTGGAGTGGCCTCGGTCTCGGCGAGAGGTAGCCTCGGTCATGGTGGCCTCAGCTAGGGCAGCCCCGGCCCGGGGTGGCTACTTAGCATGTCGCTACACGCGCGGATGCGGTCAAGGGGGATCCAACCGCCCTCCCTATTCTCATGGGGCGGTTGGGGGAGGCTTTAGTATATGAATAACTCATTATTGTCTTGATGAGGACATCCTTACCCAACACTATAAAAATCGATGAACCTTTCGAGGGAAGGAAACTTTTGTAATCGATACTATCCAAATACTTCCTGAGTTAGCTTGTTGAGAGCCTCTACAAATCTTATGTACTAAGAATTCTATTTCCAAATTAAATAATGCCATCTTTTAACTTGATTTATACACTTAGGTTCTTCATATACCTACACTATACAAGATATCATATTTGATGGATATATTGGAGACAAGCCCGACCCGGAGGAAAGTGGAGGCGACCCGGACTAGAAGTGGCCCCCAGCTCTAGGCGACCTCGACTGGAGTGACCTCGGCCTCGGCTGGGGTGGCCACCTCGGCTAGGGCGGCCCCGGCCCGGGGTGGCTACTTGTCGCTACACACGCGGATGCGATCAAGGGGATCCAACCGTCCACCCTATTCTCATGGGGTTGGAGGAGGCTTTAGTATATAAATAACTCATTATTGTCTTGATGAGGACATCTTTTTCATGTTCAATCATTACAACTACTTGTAATCTTCCTACAAAATTATTATTAATACAAGAATTGTCTCCTCAACATATATTCATTGTCTTTTCCCTGTTATTATCTATTTATTTATTTATTTTTTCCTCTTATTATCGGGTTAAGTGATTTTTGCTACCCGTGCTAATTTAATCCATCAATACTAAAAGACAATTAACATTATCATGATCTTATACTATATTTTTTTGGTTCATAATTATTTATTATATTCCACTTAAGTTATTACTAAAAATTAAAGCTAGCATATCCATTCAATGTATAATCTTTAATTCAATATGTAACATTTTGTCAGCAATTGAGACATCTTTGAGTAGACTCAACTCATAAAATTAAAGTTAACTAAATAATATTTAAACAATGGTCTAAATTCAATATATATGTTCGGTACTACTTTTTTTAAAAAAATAAAATATAAAAAATTGTTCCTATGCTTTTAGAATTGAAATATTATAGATACCTTGTCATTATTAAACTCGTAAAATTGTCAAAAATATTGATGAATCAATGACATGACGTTGACATATATCACAGTCAATGAACGTAATATTGTCATATCAACATCTATATTTTTAATATTTTTTTTTATGAAATTAATTTTTAAATATCTAAAATTGTTATACATGAAGCAAGTAGCTCATCAAATCACTTGTAATTATGTAATTATGTTCCTAAAACACCAATAGGTGTGACTATTATCAACTTTATAAATTTCAAATACAAGATTGAATAAAATATTGAAATACAAAAATCTCTCCTCAAAGTTACTTGAGTATAATAATGAAATTAATCGTGACATGATCTTGAGTGTCTAGGGAAGCTAAAATTAAAAAGATTTTTTAATTTATTCTTTAATTAGTTTTCCCTTTTGTGTTGTGACAAAAGTTGTATTTATAGTAGCAGGGTAATCTGGATGTCAGCTTTTGAACACATGGCTGGGGAACGGATAACTCAGTCGCCATCAATGTAAAGTTCATTGCAGGCCCAATAATAATGCAAACCTCAACTGGTCCACCTTCAATCTTCATCCATTAATCATATCACTCATTTCAATTTGTTTTGCTTTGCTTGCCAGCTTTAATTTTCTTTTAATGACAGAAAGCTTGTGTCTTGTTTGTGTATGTATAATTGTAGATATCTGAATTGTCTGAGAGAAAATTAGGCTTTTGGTTAGTTGCAATTCTTTTATATTAAGGGAGAAAAAATAAAGTTATTGTAATAATTAATTAACTCAAATATATTTCGCTATCAAAATATGTCGTCCCCCATCACAGTAACATTCAAGACAATCAGGTTAATTAAAGAGTCTAGGGTTAATGTATATGTTGTCATTTCATTGATACAAAAATTTATTTTTAGATAAATATGATACAAATGACAATTTCAGAACCTCTTCATAAACTCACGAATATTGATCGGATAATATAAAATGATGAAAATCCTGATTAAATATAATTTTATCTTTTTTATATATATAAAAGTAGGAAAAAAAAAAAAAAAAGACAATCTTTATATGTTGGTGGCACGTTAGCCGAGATTTTAATGCATGATAGGTTTCCCACTAACACAAACCAACCTTACTCCTTAGGTCAATTCATTCGATCACAACATATAGCTAGTTTGACTGGTACATATATGTTTGTGTGTGTATTTCTATATATACTTATATATATGCATGTATTAATTATTTATAATTAGGAATAAGGGTCAAATAGGCCATTGAACTGCACACAATAATGCAATTAGGCCACTGAACCTAAAAAAACAACAATTAGGCCATTGAACTAACCAATTTCTTTCAATTAGTCTAATTTACAGGTTAGTAACAGGTCACCCAAAAATTTAAAATATTTTTTTAAAAATAATAGATTAAAATATATTTTAAAAATAAAAACGTTTCTTCGTCTCCATGGCCGCCGGAGACGAAGAAACGTTTTTTTTTAATATATGTTAATTTATTATTTTTAAATAATAACTTTTTAAAAAATTATTTTAAAATTTTTGGGTGACCTGTTACTAACCTGTAAATTAGACTAATTGAAAGAAATTAATTAGTTTAGTGGCCTAATTGTTGCTTTTTTAAGTTCAGTGGTCTAATTGCATTATTGTGTGCAGTTTGATGGCCTATTTGACCCTTATTCCTTTATAATTATAATGATCAAACCTAAGATCGTTTGTGTTGATTATGGATAAGAGGATATCCACATCGTTAATTGATATGGGGAGACCAAAGTTGTCATTGACTGTTAATTGATAAATTGGGCTGTCAATAAGATTGGATTCCTTTCAAAACCCAGTCAACATCTATAATTAGCCCATATTTCGAAACTGGATTCAATCAAATAGGTTACCCCTCCCCCGGCCCCACCCAGCAGTGAACAAACTGTGTGAACTATAGTCTAAAATGACGTTATTTTGATATAAAAATAAATAAATAAATAAATAAATTTTGTTCCGCGCGCGTATTAGAATAATGAATATTCTGAGATAAAATAATATATTTTTAGTTAAAATAATGTACTTTATGTATTAGAATAATGAAATTTTTGGATAAGATAATGTATTTTATGAGTTAGAATAATGTATTTTATGAGTTAGTATAATGTATAATGTACTTTATGTGTTAGAATAATGAAATTTTTGGAGTAAGATAAATGTATTTTATGAGTTAATGTACTTCATGTGTTAAAATAATGTATTTTATTAATTAGAATAATGCATTTCATGTGTTTTTAGATTGTGGACCACGGTCCACCCAATAATGATTGGGAGCAGGTAAGCCTAAACCAATAATGATTCAGTCATATACAGAATAAATCAAGATTGGAAAAAAAAAAAAAAAAAAAGAAGTCAAAAAACCTCTTGTCAAGTTATTTGGACAGGTTTTTTTTTTTTTTTTTTTTTTTTTTTTTTTTTTTTCAAAGTTATTTGGACAGTTGGCACTACATTGCCCCAAATTTGACACTTCTAATTTTAGTCTTAGCATCAATTCTAGGGTTTCCTTTCGTTCTTTCATACATTCACGCTTGATCTCAGTGAGTTGGTCCTCTCTTCTTTTAAATAAATTTATTTATATTTTCAAAATTAAAAAAAATAGAATTATTACAAAACAAGCATAAAATTCAAGAATATGAATGCCAGTTGATAGGAGCAATATGATGTTCAATTTTACAGTAGCAAGAACGTAACTTTGATGCAATTTATACAGACCGGAGAAGAAAATTGTTATTTTTCCATCTCTGGAAAGCATTTTCTCGCAATTCTTTGGAAGGGTATTAATAAATTACTTGAAATTATGAAGACTTAATTGTCATGGTATTTTAACTTAAAGTCCAGTCTTGTATTACTAGACAACAAGTCATTGGCAAAGAGAGAAGCAAGCTATATAGTACGTATTGTAATTGAAATGGGGAATTCATTTTCCGATGCTCTGCAACTCCAACTTGTCAAGAGAGCTCCTGCATGCAATGAGTATAGTGATTAGCTTCTTCTTATTATTATTATTACTATTTTTTTTTTGTGAAATAATTTATAAAACATTTAAATATTAAATTGCATGGGGTAAAGTAGACATGCATCAGAATGAAGATGAAGAAAAATCCATAAGGGTATGTGGCACACTATTTAGCTTCTTGTTGGATCCCAGCGCTGCATTATGCTGATTTCCCAGTGGGTCACCTATCCTGTATGTGACTGTTGTAAGTCAATCACGCTTAACCACAACGTTCTTTAGCGATGTGATCAATTGGTGATAAGTTAGTGGGCACACTTAACCACAGAGTTCTTTGGCTATCTGACCAATTGGTGATAAGTAGGTGGACATTAACCATTTTAACCACATCCCCTCCTAGGACTAGACTTGGAACCCGTGACCTCGACTCTGATACCAATTGTTGGATTTCAGCATTGCACTATGCTCACTTCTCAGTGGGCCACCCATACTGTGACTGTGGTAAGTCAAGCATGCTTAACCACAGAGTTCTTTGACTATCTGGTTGTCGTATCGTACTTAAAATCAATTGGTGATAAATAGGTGGACATTAACCAGTTAACCACATCCCTTCATGGTAAGCCACAACATCACGCCGCGAATCAAGCATGGGCTGAACTCGGCTAACCCGGCCGACACCCAACACTTCTTGATCAAGTACATTTTTATATTAATTCCAATTATTATTAATTAGAATTTTTGGCATATCATATATCATATTTGGCAATACAAAAAGGACAACCTAACCAAATTGATTGGATATTTATCTTGATAACCACAAGGCTACAAAATACAATTTTTATTTTGCCATTGGCAAACATTTATGTTATCAGCACCCCAGAAGCACACATGTTTACCATGTACTTCAATGGTAAAACCATTCAATTATTCTCCAAGTTTTTTTTTTTTTTTTTTTTGAAAACCAAAACCACAACATATATTATTCTCCAAGTTATAATCATCCCATAAATATACTTCCACACTACAAAAGTGTACTGTAATTAAATAGAACAATAATAATAATGACTAAGTACTTGTTTTCTTTAGTTTAATGTTTTATTAATTGAAGAATGAGACATTAATGAGGAATTATACTATCATAATCTTAGCTACTATACCACAAGTCACATAGAGCTGCTGCAGGATGATTATGCAAACTAAGCTATCATATACACATATAGCTTTAGGCATCATGCATGATATAAGGTACCTTAATATTTGCAAATTTGTTTTTTTTTGATAATGCAGAATTTTTAATTTCATCTGACTATATCCTGAACCCCATGATTATGATAGACATTTTTTATTTCAATCATATAGAATAAGTTGATGGGTATAAGTGTTTTCCATCTTATAGAGGTAACTTAATGGCTAGCTATGAAGACATTTTGTAGCATAGGCATACTCTACTCAAAAGAAATAGGCATATGAAATATATTATATTCTCTGTAACATATGACTATGAATCTTTGTCAGACGGCATGAAAAAAAACATAGCTAGCTGCTACACCTATGTATGAAAGAAGAAATTAAACCTTTTTCTTCCATCTTTTGTTACCAGGCTTTCTTTGGAACTTCGAATGATGATCATACCTATTTTAGATCAAGATAGTACGGACTAGTGGTAGAAGAAATATAAATATATAGATAAATATATTAAATTTAAATTTAATATAATTCAGAATCTGTGCGTATATATGTATAGGTATGCATGCAGAGAATGGTGTTTGTATAGCATAGGGTCAGCCATGGGCCGCACAAAATCGTGTCGAATCTTGTAAGGGCCAGAAGGCCCAGAATAAGGATGTTAATCTATAGTTTCAAATATGAATTTAATTTTACAAATTAATAATAATAATAAAACAAATTGCTGAGTAATTAAGAGAGTTTCTACTTCCTAATTCTGCATGTTATCGATAGCAGAGAAAGAAACATCTATCATAAAACAGCACTGTTGGAAGATACTAGTATTTAGTGTTGGACTCTAGCGAGAACAACATATTGATTAACTTTTTTTGTTTAACCCAACGAGTTATGAATAATTTAAATTGATTTATTTCTGGTCATTTGTCGGTGTACTTAATACACAACTTCAAATAGTGACGACGTGTTTCCTCGTTCTGTGTAAATTGGGGGTCAGTTTTCAGATAACTTTGTCGCACAAATCTTATACAAGATAAAATCTAGGGTTTTTTTTGGTATGGGTTTAGGGTTTTACCACCTAGATCATGATTGATGATGAAAGATTTGATGGATTTTACCACAGAATTAATAAAGATAAGACTTTCAAACAAGGAATTGAAGTGTTTAAGGTAAGATTTGAATTTTGAACATACTTACCAACCATTCATGGGTACGAGGAAGCAAGTAATTAAGTAGAGTGCTTCAGATTTGTTTGGTGCTGATCATGATGATTAATTCCCTTAATTGGATTTAGTCTCTTCTTCTTTTTCTTCTTGTACGGAATTCCCCTCGCCTTGGCCTGACATTCCTTGACCTCCCGGAGATAAACCCGAATCGCTCCGTTCCCGAAGGGATTATTCTCCGGCGATCCGCCGTTCTCCTCGTACGCTGCTCGGAGGCGGCCTATCAAGGCGTCGAGGCTGCCCCATGCTTGCCTGAGAGGGCAAGTGCACGGGGCGGGAGGATCGGGTTGGCCGAAGAACACGCAACCGTGCAAGTGAACCTTAGTCTTCCCGAACTGGTCGAGGTATCGGAGGAATTCCAGGACGTGGTTGCAAGTGCACTGGGGCAGCGACACTGGCGGCCTCTGGTTCTTCAAGTACTGCCCGAACGTGTTCCAGTCGCGCCGTTTCTGCGACTCGTACCTGCTCAGCGCCGGCGACGGCTGGGGATGATGGTCTCCGCCGCTGCCGGAGGATCGGGAGGATCCCTCGGCGGCGGAGCCCTTTGGACCGTCGATGATGCTCATGATTGTTGACGCAGATGAAAGCATTATTTTTTGTGTGTTTTAACGAGGGTATGATATGATATGATATGGGTATGTAAAGAATCTGGGTGAAAGAAAATGGTTTGAGCTTAGTGGAGAGAAAAAATGAAAATCATACACCCTTCAGTCCATTGACGAGACATGATATGGGTCCCTCCTCTTACTGTACTTTTGTTCCTTAATACGGTCTAATTATTTATATGATTATGTTACAAATTAAATTGAAGCATGTGCTCCATCTCAACTAAAAATCATCTTTTCATGTGTGCAGTGGGTTCCAAGCAACGTGAACCCATGACATTTAGTCTGGTTCTGATACCAAATTGAAGTATGTATGTGCTTCATCTCAACTAAAAGCCTAAGTTGATAGTTGGATTGCACATTAATGGTTATATGCTCAACAAATTCGACTCTCAATGTAAGTAATTTATTAGTCTTCTTGATTTGAGCTGGTCAACTAAGGTCTAAGGATAACCTAGGTTGGTTTATTTTAATGTTATTCTTTGCTAGTTATGATCACAAAGTATAATTTATCAAATACACACTCTCGAGTAGTGATTTTAGGTTTCTTCGCCACTCAAAAATAGAATACAGCATTTACGTTTGTTAGTTTTCATAATTTTTAACATATTGATAAGCATATACTTATTTTTATTTTTTAAATGGACTTGTTGCTGGAAGTCAAGAAAAATGGGGTGATGAATTATTATGATTTTGTTACCTATGGTTTTTCGTAGTGATTAAACGTACACGTCATTATATTATATTTTATGAATAATAGTATATGCACCGAGCATATATTATATTATTATATTGTATTAAACATAAACTATATTCTATGATTAATTAAAGCTAAGTATGCATCATATGATGCTTTACGAGTCATATATTCACTACTAGCAAGCTAAGATGAAAGCATCCCCGTGACAAATAAGTCGGTGCGACAAATCTCATCACTTCACAATGCAAATCAGGTTCCAATTCAATGCCTGCTGGGCTAAGGTTATCACAAGATATTAATTTAAAATTAATTTAACCTACTCACGTGGACTTAAAAACCCAACAATTTTTTTTTAAGTTGCTAATTACAGGTTAATTGAAACGTTAATCGAATGAGATGCGATTCTAGAAACTGGTTTTTACTCTTGTGTTCATGAAGGATTAATAATAATTTAAACATATAGCCACCAACACTGTTCAAAAAGCATTCTGACCTCGATAAAATGTTTGGGACAATGATTCTGTGTCTTTTGCCCTTTTTACTATATATGATAACTTTTATTATGTACAGTACACTACCTAGCAAGCTTGCTTGTTGAGGATTTATATGTATTACTACTTAAATATTGTGTATTAATTGTAGGTCCAGAAGTTTTAAGTTTAACATCTTATTTTGTCTGGTATAAATTTAAAATGTGACGTTATTATTACACAAATATAAGCATATTTTCGTATTTGTTACTAGTTATGACTTATGATATAGTGACAGACGTTTAATAGTATAATATACAAATTATTATATTTAATGTTGATAACGATTTGAATGGATATGTTAACAGACATGCATTCATGCCCTAAATGGGGCAGCATGAAATTTTGCAGATGCATAAAAAAGGGTAAGATTAAGAAAAGAAAAGAAAATAAAAAACTCTGAAATTAAGGTTGAAACTTGAAAGGACTATTCTTACTTTTTGATGGAATTAATAAATTTGCTTTTGTTGGGATATGGAGGGTCCCAGAGATTAGTTCGTTGTTGATTACGTATAATTTTGTTCTATTAATCGCGCTTATTCATATTTGTACTCCGTGTTGTATTGACTCCTTTGTCATCATGATTATTTAATTTATATACAATTAACCAATATATAGACTTTATACATACGAAATATTCTAGACTGTCACGAGACTATTTACATCTAATCAATTTTTTGTTTTTTTTTTTCATTTATACTATTAACCAAACACGTAATACTTTTTTTTTTTTTTTGAAAATAACCAAACACGTAATACAATTTTACTAAATATACAATAAGGTAAGAAAAGATGTCAATATCTCCTACTTGGGTCCTACTATGTCTAGAATAGTGTCCAAATCAAATGCTTACCACTAAAATAAAAGTTATAGTTAATAGCGAATGTTAATCTTATTTTCTTATTCTTACATAATCACCCGCGTCAAGCACTTGTCACTATGCCAATGTTTATAACTAGTAGCGAATATGTAATTTTTATTTTTTATGAAAGATAATTTTATTTATTATACCTATGTAGCAGTTAGCGCCACATATTTGTTGATGTCAGGATCAAGTCTTTATCACTATGCCAAAAGCTATGCATAGTACCAAATGTACAACTTTATTTCTTTATATATACTTACTGCTGTAACTAGGTTCGAACCCAAGAAGACCGCAAAACTACTCGTGCACTCCCGATCCTCCAGATAGCCAGCCCAGGAATCAGTAAAGGCATGTAAATCACGAGATACACATTTCCGGAGCCGCAAACCAAAATCCAAAGTCCCTTGCAACCGTGGAAGTCGTTCTACCAATAACCAAATACATATATAACCTCCTCCGAAAGCAACGAAATTAACATGAAAAGAATGGAGTAGTCCTGTTGGACCCAAATTGCGTACACCGAATTTAGGACGGGAATTGTCGCATCGCCGAGTGGTGCTGGTAACATCGCCAGTGGGTAGGGGTATGAGTCGTCAACGTACCTAATAAGTAAATTATGGCCTATGAGAAACAACACAAGCTGAGTACGCGAAAAGAGGTAGTTTCGCGAAGTTAATTTAATCGACACAAAATGATGTGTCGTAGACAATGAAATAACAGCAGGCAGTGGCAGAGGAGAAGCAATGGTCTCCGACACCATGCGCTCAAAACTAGCCGTGGTAGCATGCACATCCTGTGCGGGTGACACTACTGGAAATTATGGAATTTATGACTACCTGAAAGTGATCTTAAATCAAGTCGAAAGTCTTGTTCTGACCACTTTTGGTATCCAGAAAAACCTTTGTTGCTATTTCCGACCACTTTTTGGTTTCAACTTGATTTAAGATCACTTTCAGGTGGTCAGAAGTTCCATAATTTCTAGTAGTGTGACGACATGAAGAAAAATCTAATCTAATACCAGATGAGAACCTATATTCTGTATTACGCTATCCTAAATAGAATACAAAATATTTAATATATACAGAGATTACAATTAGAAACATAACACAAGCAAAGCCCTAACAGCAAACAGTATCACGTTTTGGTGGTAAGATATTGGACTTGACTTTTTGAGATGCCTAGCCTCTTGCCCTCTTGTTCTAGTACCACTATGCCTAAAAATGAAATAGCATGACAACTTTGGAAGAAATCACCTTTTTTTTTTTTTTTTTTTTTTCAACTACTTGATATACGACTAAAAATAGTCCCACATTCTTTTCTTTTTAAAACAGAATCGTAGAATAGGAGGCACCGGTAACTTTCAGTAAGAATCCAAAATCCAGTGGGTATATGTGTGTATATATACAGAGAGAAAGAGACAGAATGTGCAGACATGATTTGATTTGGGAAAAAACAAAAGGCAGAAAAGGACATAAATTGGTGATATGAAAGTGGGGGAGAAATAGGGCCGGCCGGATGAGGAGAGGATGCCCGTTAGCGTTAGGATAATTCTCACCTTAGCTTTGACGCGTGGGCAGGCGGCGTACGTTCATCTGCTTCAATTCATTCCATCAAAACATACCAGCAAATTGAAGACATTTTATTTTCTGCAAATTAAAATTATTGGTCCAACCAAACTGCTTAACTGGTAATAGCTAAGCTAGCTAGGTCGTCGTCTATGCTAGCTACTTCACATGAAAAGAAAAGAAAAAAAGAGATTAAATTATTGGCTGGCTGAAATGATCTGATAGAGAAGTGTGAATAGGGCAGGTAAAGGGGAAACAATGGTTCATCATCGTCATCCGCCCGACCTGCTTGCCCATTTCTATGCCGCATAGGCAATTAGGCATAGCTTCTTTACTATGTGGAGTAGTCAGTAGATATACATATCTTGAGTCTATTGGGTTGCAGATCAGAGAGCCAAGTTCATCAACATCCTGCTATCGGACCATGACACTGACTACTACAGAAGTATAAGGAAATAAAGTTGTGTCTTTGTTACTAGCTATAATTTTTGGTGTAGAAGCGATTGATCCTACAATGGGTATCAGAGCCAGGGTCGCATGCTATGCAGTTGAGGCTCGTAGGTGTTGGGAGGGGGATTCTTGGGTTGCGACTCAGAGAGCCAAGTTCAACATCCTGCAATCGGACCATGGCGCTAACTGGTACAAGTATAAAGAAATAAAATTGTATCTTAGCTTTTGAAGTATTGGTAAGCACTTGATCTTTGAGAGTCGCGTATGAACATCCACTATGTCAACCTTCTTAGTAGATCTTTAAATGTGTTCCATTCTCCAATTTTATAAATAATGTGAGTTAATATCCAAAATAGTCCTCGACTATAGTGATTGACGGTAAATATGTTACTAGAGTAAATTAGGAAATAAGTAGAGCAATTATATTGCTATGTTTAGAGTTCAATACTTTCCGAGTGTCCCCCTCTAATGTGACATGGGCTCATCCTTTATTTTTTTCTGTGTGATTTATGAGTTATTATACAAAAACAGAGTTTATTTGTACACATCTTCAAATAGTGACTATGGATTTTTCTTGTAAAAAATTATTGGGGACGACTTTGCATTCTTTGTGACAAAGAGAAGAAAGTAAACTGAAAGAACCTTGTAATAAGACAATCAGCAGCTTAATGAAGACGCCAATATAATCATATGGGCCTGTCTACTAACCCATTGAGTCACCGTAATTTACATCCTCCCACATGCTCTGTTGGGTCGGAGTGTGGAGATGCTCTATTGGATCTGAGTGTGGGGGGCCCTTAGGGTTGGGAATTCAGCCTTTTGGGGTAAGACGCCAATATAATGGTGTCGAAAGATTGAGAAACAAGTCATTTTTGTTTTATTACACCTTCTTGAGGGTTTAGTATTTCGGTCATGTTTAGTAAAATAGTTAGCCTATTAGA